GAAACAAACCGAACGCCGGCGTTAATTAAGGAGCGGGGCGGGTTAGTCGTCACCCGGCGTCCTTCGCCACAGCCACGAAACCACCCGAAAGCAGCGGAGCGGTGTGCGATCCGCTGACGCGCCGGGGCTGGGTGCCCAGGGTTTGCCCCGACGTCCAGCCACTGAGTGCAGCTCTCCTTTGGGCACGTCTGAGCCCAGAAGACCAAGATAACCCAAGATTAGACCTTTGGTTTATTACTCATCTGACGAACTAATCGCACCCTTCCAGCTGCAGAGCCGCGCTGGTCATGCACCAGGGCCGCTTCCTCCGCGGACTCACGCAGAGCGTTCGGAAGGTACGAGCGGGTAAAATCCTACAGCAAGCACAGGGCACTTGTGACTCACTCCAGCACACGTGGGTCACTGGGACCTAGGAAACATCATCTGCTGTGTTATATCTATCCCAGAACCAGCTGAGAACAAAACGGGCTGAAAAAAGTGGTTGACTGCTAGTTGGGTATAGGGGAAGCTGAGAGCATCTCTCTCCTGGGAGGCAGGAACAAATGAGACATCCTGAGCTGCTCTTGAAGTTTCTAAGAGCAGCCCTGATGACATCTAAATGGATCTCTTACCTTTATCTTCTTTACTTTGCTGAAGTCAAATCAATGGACAAATACAAACTTTTCTGGAGGTTAAGGAGGACCAACCCAACCCACCAATCCACCTCAGGAGCACACTGCCCAGCTCTTCAGAGCAGCACAACCCTCCCCTGCTCTTCAAACCTTCCCATTTCTCCATCAGCTGAGCAGCAGGAGGAACGACTGCTCTTCTGCAACATCCAGCAAACCCGGCTTGACTTCTTGAAGACTCACCTACCACACCAAGGGCTCGAAACACCAGCAGCGACTCCGAGTCAGCTCCCACCAACTTCTCAGCATGGGCACATTTTAAGTCTTGCCCCCATCCACAAATACTGTTCCCTATATCATGGGGCCAAGCAACATAGCCAGGCTGGAAAACTGGCTCTCGCTGTCTCTTGGAACTGGAACCAAGGTAAACGATAGCCTTGGTACGGCTGTTTATTTCCTCTGGCTGAGACGGTTTGGTGGGAAATTATCTCCAAAAATAAGATTTTTTTAAAAAAGTTTCCAGCCCCCACAGGTATAGGCAGACAATAAAATGCTTTTGTGAGCAAGTAATATAGAAAAATCACTAGTGAAGTGAACTATTTATAGTCAACACTAACATTTGTCAGAGGTTTCAGCAACCCCTTTATGGCTAATGATAATGAGAGTGGGAGACCGGGAGAACTGAGACCTGTTAAAGAAAGAAACCAGAGGGTTTGTAGGAGCAAACCTGCCACCAGGCAGCTAGAAAAACATGTATAGGGCCAACTGATGTATGCCCTCTGTCATATAGGTGGAGAGGGAGAAAAACCGTAATAACTTAACAACAGAGGCCATGGGAAGAGCAGCCTGTCTGGATGGGGAAGGCAGAGCACCCACGCCCTCCGCAACATCTGCCAGCAGCAGGATTGAGTCTTCACAAGCCAAAGGTGTGAAGGTCCCCACGTGCATCCTCGTGATGCTTGGGCTGTGCGTTCCCACCCAAGGGCAGGTAGCTGTGCCTCAGCCACCCCACAGGACCCCTCAGCCAACTTCTTCCAAGCCAATTGCAATTTAGATGAGAGCAGATGCTGTACTTACAACTTGCATACTGAAAAGCCCCATACACAGAGCCTGAATTATTCATGGACAGGACCAGCAGAAGCTTTAACGCTGTGCCACACAGTGGCACTGGCTCACGCAAGAGGAGAAGAAGAAATATTTGTGTGTCTCCACAAGCTTCTCCACATGCTCCTCATTCACCACTTTCTCCAGGCATCCAAAACTTGGAGTCCCACTGGAAAGCCCTTTTTGGCAGTTCTGGGTGGCTGGAGCCCTCCCTGGACTGATGGCTTGAGGGACATCCCATGTTTCACCAGGCATGCTGCACATACTGCAAGTTCATCTTTCTTCTCCTAAAATAAAATCTGGTTCAAGATTATGCACAGGAAAGTAATTTCATAATATTCCCCTGTCCATCCCAGCCAAGGCAAAGCCCAGACTTCCCCCCCAGCCTCCTGGCCTTCCATGAAGTCAGGTGTCTCCACATGTCCTCTGCACCCTCCGTGCCCACCCATGGACGTACCCCAGCCCACACTACAGCAGAGGGTACTTGTGAGACAAGGCTTGACCCTGGCATGAAGCATCCACACACCAGCATCTGCCCTTTCCAACGGTTATTTTCCCACGTTCATTTACTCAGACGAAAGAAACCCACAGCTCCCAGAACATCATTTCAAGTGTGAAAAGACACGACGCCGTATGGTTGCAGGGATTTCAGCCGCGCCGCCGCTTGCTCCTGAGAAAAGGGTCACCTTTAAAAATGGAAACTTAATTAAAGACCATAAATAAAATCGGATCGGTCGCGCTGTTAACTCGCGAGCAGTTGGCGCCATTTGGCCCAGCGCTGCTGAAGACCGAGAGCCGCACGTGATTGCCAGCGGCCACGCACGCCGCCCCGGCTCCCCACCGCTCCCGGGCTCCTCCGCCAGCAGGATTAATCGCGTTCGATAAGCGCAGTAATTGGGCCCGCTCCCATGCTGTACTGCACGGAGCTGCATCTCAGATGGCTGCAGAAACACAGCAGCTGCTTGACGGATCCTAAATGTCACCCTGCAGAGCAACTCCAGGCCAACTCTTCAAACTCCTCGCGACTGCCGAGCAGAAACGCTCCGAAAAAGGAGTACGGTCTCGTGAACCAGGAAGACGATCTCCTATGAAAATAGTGACTCACCTTATTCTGGATAAAGGTGGGATATACCGTATTAACATGCATACCACTTATTTACAGCCACATTTTCTGCCAGAGAAGCCATTATCCACCCCAGCATTCCTGTGTTAATAGGGAATCTTGCTCTAAAATTGTAACGCGTACAAGAAGTCAGAAAAACCCAGTTCCTTGATTTTTCAGACCCCTCAACTCACTGGCACCTGCCATTTAACACTCAACCCAGTTTTTCTCACTTCTTTTGCGGACCAAAATATAGAGAGAGATGAGAAGAGAAAAAAACCACCCTAATCCTTGTCACCTTGCCAGGACATTCCTCTGCAAGTATTCATGGTACGACTTGTACCAACAGCAGATCCCGAAATACTTCTCTTCGCTCCTGCAGTCCAGTTGGCACAGCCAAGCGAACAAGCTAAGGGGAAGTCTGTGTATCCTTCCAAGAAAAAGCCTGCTACCAAAAAAAACATCAAGGAAAGCAGCACATCCCTGCAAAGGCAGACAGAGCCAACTTTCCCTATAGCGACAGATTCAGAGTGGTTCAAGTTTTCCTTCCTTCTTCCAAGCCAGAATTGCTGCACAGGGAATTCAAGTCTCTACCCATCCACCAAGGGAAGATGACAACTCTCAAGGCTGATGTACCTGGAAAAGGGTGGTCTGGAACTCCCCAGCAAGACTGGGCTGCCCAGGGTGGGAAGCAGGAAATGCAGGAGGCATCTCACCCCCAGGGAGAATGGCGTGACACTTCAGGAACTGGTTCTCCTCATCCTGCCTAACCCACCAGGCTCAGCTGCGAGGACAACCAGATGCCTGACCTGACATTCAAGGAGCTTCTTACTCAGGGAGCCCCAAAACACGAGACCATCTCAGCACCCCACTCCTTCCAGCAAAGTTATCACTCAATAGCTTCTTGTCACCAACATCTGATTCATCCTTCAACCACTGTGCTCATGGTGAAATGCTTCACCGCTTGTTCCTTTTTCAGTGGACAACAACAAACCACCACTCTGGTGGCTACAGCAAAACTGCAGGCAGGAGAGACAGAGAAACTGCGAAGCTGTAGAAGATCATCTCAGCAAGCCTGAGCAACTTCTGCAGGATTTAAAGCATCCATGGGTCATGCCTCAAACAATATGTGCAAAGAGAGCCTGCGGAGGCTTTAGAGATCTGCCCAAGGTGAAGGCAAACCAAACTGGTGGACAACCCCCCAAAACCAGCACAGAGTAAAGTGAATCCCTGCAGTCTGCAGGAGAGGAGGGCAAACAGCAGCTGCCACTGTCAATCTGCCACCTTCCACTTGCACCAGACTCATAAATTGATTTCTTTAAGGAGGAGAGTGATCCTGGAAGAGCATCAGCCACCACAACCAACACCAGCCAGGCTGCTTCTGCTGAACATCTGAAGCAATGGGGGATTGGAAAGGTTCCCCTCCACCAACACTTGCTTCAAGGGGAGGATCACCTCCCACCCACCAGCGCTGCGTGCCAGGTGGGGTGTCAGGCAGGGAACCAAGGTGAGGGTCTTTCAGACACAGCACACCCCTGTGCTTCCCTCTGCCTCCCCCCCCATGCCTGCTTTGCGAAGGTTATTTGTTTCCCTCCTCCCCAGTCCCTCACGCTGAGAGCCAGCTGCCTCTGCTCAAAACCCATCAATCCCAGCCCAGGAACAAAGCCAAAGTGCTTACAGATGCGCCTGGTGTGAACCTGCCAAAGGTTCTCAGCTGCAGAGATGGCTGCTTTCACCATCCTCCCCTGTCCAGGCTTTTCCCCGTACCAGGCAGAGCCAGAGCTGGTTTTTGGTGTGGGCATCAGTGACCAACACAACCTGCTCCAGAAACTCCAAAGTCTTGCCCTCAAGCACCCAAGGAACTGTCAGGCAAGCAACCAAGCACCCAAAAGGCTCCATTTACAACACATCAGGTGCTATTTTACAGCAGGTCCTCACACCATGAAGATGAAAAAGCAAAGCCTCCATAGGATGGATTTTAAGTGCAGTGCTTAGAGATGCAGAGAAACAGTAGTTGACTTTGCAAAACAGACTAACATCTCCCCAGCCCCAACACCACCCAGTTGGAATGACTACAATAACCAGTTACACTGGATTGAAAATTTCTGCAGACGCCCCATCCTGCATCCCCAGATGCCCCTAAGTTTGTTTTTTTTTTAATGAGTCTAAATCCCAGCATTCTGGCAGAAGATGCCAACTGAGCTGAACTTATGTGGTATTTTTAGCTTTGTTACCCAGTATAATTTTTGTGAAGGTTCAATTTTTCAGATGTTAGTGGGAAAAAGGGATGAAATATAAGTTGGGTTTGTTACAAAAAAAAAAGGTTTCTTTTTATAGCATGCCAAAACTTCACCCTTCAGGTTGAAAGTGAAGTAACCACAATAAGCATTTGGATGGGTATGTAGACCTGACAACCTCGATTAACGTTTACCCATATTTATGTGATTGTCAACACAGAAATAAAGTTTGGAGAGTCTGAAACATTTGTAAGCCAAACCGAGATGCCTGGATGACCACACCACATTAGGCATGTGGTACCGCAGACACCAAGGCTTGTAGTTTTGCAGTTGGGATTTTTTTTAGTTATATGAAAGAATCAAGATCCATTTTTTTAAACAGCATATTCAGACCTTAAAACCCTCGTTTTACTAGAGAGCAAAACTGGTTCTCCATTTTGGAAACTGTAAGTAGTGCAAAAAAACCAAAAACAGGCAGCAGCATATTGCATATTGCTGGGTCCTCTTCACTCATCTCCCCCAAATTTAGCTGAGACTGACCCACTTCCAACTTAACCATGTTACTCTGTGCTAAGAAATCAAAGTGCTGAGAAATCACAGCAAGCCAAGGCAACATAACGTGCTGCAATAAATCACCAGCCATCAGAAGTGACGTTACCCTCTGTATGTGCAGGTGTCCCAGGCACAATCCAGAAGAGCACAACCAGGAGGGCAGATGCAAAACCAACATGGGAGGCTGCTTTTTGCCTCCAAATTCTCATGGGTATGTTTCTGCTGAGCACCAAGCCGAAACCATCCCTCTAGAAAAAGAGGATCCTGTCTGCATCTATGCCCTTATGCATCCAGCGCCCTGAGGTCTTTCTCTTCTCCCCTAATAATTATGATTTTAGAGAAAGAGATTCATCTCTCTGACTCTGCACCGGTTTTAATCTTAGCCCCACTAAGGAATAAGCATTAAAAAAATGCTTTGCATAAATCTACTGTAGCAAGGCTCTTATTTCACTTCCAGGCCAGTTTTTTTCCAATACCACGACGCATCAAATGCAGAAGAGAAACTGTGAGAGATCAGCGTTTTGCGACGAAACAGAGAGTGACGGCCTTCAGAACGGATCAGCTCCTGTGGTTAAAGCATCTACAGCATTTCCAGCCACACGGTGCTTCCCTGAGTTGCACCCAAAAACACGGGAGGCTACGAAAGAAAACAGGGATACAGAGAGAGCAGACAGGAAAAAAACAGCTCGGAGAAAGTTGCAAAGGGAATGCAGAAAGAGAAACGAAAACAATGACAGCAGGGAGGAAGCGCAGCAGAAGAGGAAGCGGAGATGTGCAGTGGAAATGAGCTCTTCTCACTCCTCCCTTCAGCCTCGGGAGCCACAGACCAAACCCGACCACACAGCTTTGTCTCCTACATCGGAGAAAGCCGATGGTACCAGCTACAGCGACGTGTAGCTTCACGGAAGGGAAGGGGAGTGTTTTTTTTTGTTGTTGTTTGATGTTTTTAAGATGTCTTTAAAATGCACGACAGTCTAAGGGAAGAAATCAAAAGAGAAAGGTGCCACTTGCATTAGCACAACGAAGCCACCACCTGCTCAGAGACTGAGCACAGTCAGCACCAACACACAGCGCCACGTTGCCCAGGTCTCGGAGCCCTCCTCTGCCCACGGCGCTGTGCACAACACTCGCTCACGCAGTCGGGGTGCCCACGGCTTGGGGGAGAGCAGGGAGCTGGTACCTTTCGTTGCCCGGCTGGAACTCGGAGAGCAGGGATGGCCTCCGCCGCTGCGGCTGCATGATAGACCCCGGCGGGAGGTGGGAAGCAAAATCCCTGGAATGGTGCTGGTACTCCAACAGCGCGACGTCCTGCAAAAAACACACACAGAATTGCTCGTTAGGCTGGTGGCAACTTTCAAACAAGCACTGAACCTCAACAGCTCAGAAGAAACCATATAGACACTTCTCTCCTTTGAAGCACTGGGTGCTGGATCACACAGCTCCATGCTTTTCCCTCCCTAGAAGGGTTCCCAGTAACCTCCAGTCCCACACCGTGTTGGGATGGGTGCTGGGTCCCCAGTCCAACCTGCCTGCAGCCGTTTACCGGGGCTGCTCGCAGGCTGGCTCCCAGGACAGGAGCCCAGCGAGCTCAAGCCAGCCACCAACCACGCACACAGGGATTTTTGGCATCCAAGCAGTCCTGATGTCAACTTCAAATTCAAGAGGAAGAACAGGTAAGATGAAAATTAAAAGTCAGAGGATACTGTCAGCTTCAATACTCCATGCAGCAGTACAGAGAAAGAAAAAAGAATAAAAAAAAAAAGAAAAAAAGAAAGAAGAGAAATCACAAATGTTATCTTGAGAGTGTCTCTTTAAACACAGCTCCCCTGGGCTGAGCTCAAGGGGTTTGAAAGGACAGTTTGCTACTTATTATGTGTACGTCCCTTTTGTTCCTTGACCCTTGGAGAGTACAGTACAGTATGTTCCTGATTTTAATTAAATAAGAAGCCCTCCTGCTCTGTGCCGCAGACTGATTCCAGCAACAGTATTTTAGCAGCTACATTCAACTGCTATTTTTTATTTGCAGATAGATACTTGACCAGAAGACTAATCATCTAATTAAATAAGACCTTCAGCAGCAGCATAGAAAGCCCTGTCGCAGAATATCCCTGGTAACACGGACACACATTTACGTTAGAAGAACCAATCCCACCTGGGAGTATATTTTGAACTGTTCTCAACTGGAACAAAAACGCTCCGACTCCCTCAGAAAGAAAAAAAAGATGTTTCAGAGTCTAAAAAAAGAAAAATAAATCAACAAATAAAATCCCACGTGCACGCAGTCGGGGGTGTGGGCAGGGGACTCTCGGCCCTAACAGCTGCAAGAGAAATTATTTGATCAGATGTAGTGAAGATTGACATGCCCCAGCAAGGTGCACGGCTGGCAAAGAAGCGATCGGAGAGATTGAACAGCAACAACCTGCACCTAGAGACCCTTGTCCCGAGCTGCAAGTGAACAGCCCAGCACTGGATGCTCCTCCAGCCAGCTGCAGAGTAGAAGGGAATATCAAAGCCCAACATCTTTGGCTACCAGAGGGTAAAACAAGATGTTTGCACAGCAGCTTTCTGGAAAGCCAGGAAGAAAAGCAGAAACTGTAAGCACTCAGCCCAAGGGAGGCAAGAAAAGCAGATCCCCTACTCCACGTTCAGCCTCTCTCACACAAAAGCTGAAAAGGCCAAATATCAAAGGGAGGAGAAAGGGGAACAGTGGTGTCCAATGGCCACCACTGCTCCTTGTGCCTAGAAAGGTGCACCAGTGTTTGGAATCAGGTCCACTTCTCCCCAGCACCAGGCAACAGTGCGGTGCTGCTCCTTTCCTATTCTGACCTATCTTGGGAAACCCCAGGATCCAGGGACCTCCGCCAGACTCAAACTCCTGGACTCCACCTCCAGCCTGGCCATTTCGGACCTCGGCCTCTGGGGCAAGGGGTGTCTTCAGACAGGTTCTTGCAACACAACGAGGGCATTACTGGGACAGCGTCTACTCATCCTCATGGGCATGTTCCACTTCTGCAATAAGTCCAGGTGCCAAGGGAGGATGCCACCCTGGGAAGCTGATTTTCTTCATCCACACAGGAGGCAACGGGACAGAATACACCAGAAGTCCAACCACAGATGGGACAAACTCTGACACCTGAAGTTGAGGAGCCCCGTTAGCTCCCCCAGCCCCAGCCAAAGCAGACTCACTGCCAACAACGAGCTTCCCCCACGTTCACGCTCGTCCTGGCTTTAACTAAAAAAAAAAAAGGGTGATGCAGCTCCTGACATCCACCTACAAAAAAACCACACCATGTCTGGGAAGACACACCAACAGGCCCACAACCAGGACTGTCACCTTCTGTAGGCGTCTAAACAAGAATTACCCGTCTGGGAGGCTCGAAGGCTGTGCCCTTGAGGGGGGAGAAAAAAAAAAAAAAAAAAAGGCTCTTGCATGTTCCGAGAACTATCTGTTTTCCTTTTCCCTTTGCCCACATTCAGCTGAGCTTTGCCTTTTCCTCCTCTAGCCCCCACCAGAAAACCGCTGGTGGAACCCAGAGCCCGCTGGCGTGGCCTGAAGCGACAGGGAAGCTCTTTACACAGGGCCGGGATGGCAGACGTGCCCCTCCGGCTTCCCCGCCGAGGGCAAGGCTGGCAGAGCGCCAGCTCCTGTTCTGCCAGCCATCACCCAACTCGCTCTCTGACCCTGCTCTGCTTTGCTCACACCAGCGTTCGGTTCCACACAGCCTGAAAAATTAGCGAGGAGGATTAAAATTGACAAATTTCTGTGGCCTGTGATGAACTGTCAAAGGAACCGCGGGAGGCCTGGCAGGACGTAGGTGGATTAGTTGCTCAGAAAGTGACTCCAGTAGATTGCACTGTGAGCTAGGACTGTGTTTCTCGAACGCAAACGCCGGAAAGGTTTACGAGCTGCCTTTGGAAGAGGCTTCAATTTTGTTTCGCAGTATTTTCAAGCCGTATGCGGGGAGGCACCTCGCTGCCAGCGCCACGGCACCTTCCACGCATGGGCAGGGACGAGGGAGCCGCATCCCGCGGGGCCACGGGAATTCCCACCGCCGGAGCGCACAGCGCAAGCGTCATTCGGTTCACATCCCGACCGAAAATCTCTAGTGCAGCCCTGGCACCTGCGCAAGGGCAGCTATAAGGCACCTGAAACAAAGCCACTAAAAGACTCTGCAGCCCCAAGTTACGCATTGATCCTTTTCCTCTCCCTGGCTTTGCTGGTTTTTGCTCAATTCTATTTTTTGCTCACCTTCTCCTCCTCTCTTCGCATTTCTTCCTGCTCTCTGCAAACTCTCCTCCTGCCACCCTAAATCTGTTGACATGTCAAAGCCCCTGCTCCAGGGCCTTCAATCTTCCCATTGCCTCTGGTCAGGACTTGGTTCCTTTCACACCAACCTTCCTGTTCTTCTTCGTGGTTCAGGTGCTCCCACACAGACATACTTTGCGCAGGTTTTGCAGAATTTCATAAAATCCAGTAAACGTCATAAAACAGAAATCAAGGAAGCAGAAAGACCATGGCTAGTCAGGGGCTCTGGCACGTCAGGAGATCTGAGGGGGTGGGAGGAGGCTTTGTAGAGAGCAGGAAGAGATGCAAAGGCAAGATGAGCAAGAAGTAGAATTGAGCACCTTTTCCACTTCTGTTGATAGAAATTAAGCTTCTTTATTCAGGCAAAGGAGGGGGAATATTTCCAAAACAAAACCAAAGCAAAGCAACCAAAGTCAGTTTTGGAAGTCTCAATGTCAAGACCTTATTCTACTGATGAAAGACCAGCTTCCCAAAATATAACCCCAGGTGAACGGAACTGTGTCCCCTCTAACCACGTAGGCAGAGTATAAACAAACAGGCCACAGTTTCCTCTCTCTAGGCTGCACCATCTAGAGCCATAGACGGTTCAAGACCCAACCCGGCGATGCCAAGGCTGAGCTGCCAGGGCTGGGGTTCGCCCCTCCTGTGCCACACACCCCTCCCCAGCAGCAGTTCTCCACCAGCCACGAGAGCAGAGCGCTATTCAGGCTACTCCCTGGGGCGTCCATCCTCTCCGACAGACGTGAATCCACACGATGCCGTGGGAACAGCCCCATAAGCTGTCAGAAAGCTTGTCCAAACCAGGGAGACACAGCCCAGGCACAGCCACCACAGAGGCCCCCAAAAAGCCCTGCACCACAGAGCACTGGCGGGAGGATCCCGTCCTCCAGCACAGACATTTGTCCCCAGCATGCCCCCAGCAGCTCCGCAGCACAGCCCTGCCACGTGCACCTGGCTCCGGTGCCTCCTGCTCCTGGGACAATCCACCCGCCGATGCCCAGCAAACTCACTCTTGCCTAAGGGCAGCAGCAGACTTGGAAAACTGTGGAAGTCACCCAGCCAGGAGAGAAAGGTCAGATCTCTGCCACTGGGAGCAGCATGCCATCCAAGTGCAGTGGCGAGAATGGGTCATCTCCACCTTCCAGCCCCAGAAACACATGGCTGTCTGCCCTTCGCGAGCCACCTGGTACCGCACCGTGCTCGCCAGCTGCCCTGGCGCAGACCATCGGCCTGGCATGCAAGAAACAGACACTTCGAAACCAGCAAGCTCTGTCTCCAAAGCTTTGGGTGAAGCCGGCTGACTAAAATCCAAAAAACGACAAGGAAAATCCTACCTTACTCCATTTCAAACCATGCACCTGTGCTGTCTCCTGGGCACATCACCCGAGTGAACCCAAACCAGGGAACAGCTGACAACAGACCTCACGACCGCAGCCTGCTGTGGCTACCAGCAAGGAAGGGTCTTGCAGCGAAAACGACTGGAATGCAGCTGCTTTCTGCCTAAATGCAGCCAGAAAGCTGCCCTGATGAGACCTGGCTCCAGCGGGGCCTCCTGAGCTCCTGGCCCCACACCACAGAGAGCTGCTGGCTGGGCTGAGCCAGCACTAGCAGCACCACCGGACGGACATCGAGAGCGCCTAGGGTGCCATAAATCACCCCGGCAGAGCAACGCAGCGCAAGGCCAACGTTTAGGTGGATTAAAACACTAAAGAGCCAAAAGCAGCCTCGTTAAAACACACATCTTCCTGCAGCAGGCTGAAGAGGTCCTTAGGCACAGCCAGAGGTGCCGTGCGCGTCCCTCGGCGCCAGCGAGGAAGAGGCTGGGCACGGCCGCGCTGCCCCTGCCCAGAGAGCAGGGAGCGTGCTCCTGGTCTCAAGGTCTTTTTGTGTTATTACTCAGTTCAGGAGTGCTGGGAGCGCCGTCTCCCTCCCCTTCCTGGTAAATCCTCTGACCCGAAATAACCCGAGTCTATCAGGCTCATTTAGATACGCTAATCAAACT